ATATTTATGGACCTGACTGTATATGAGCTGCAAAATACCATAAATGATGCATCTAATTGCAGACAGTGTTCACAGAATGCGCTGAAGTGCACTCTAGAAGGCAAGCAGCCCACAAGCAGCATAAAAGGAATAAATAAGCAGCGTAAAGGCCATTTTAATATGGCCTCCCACCTTTAGGAGACAGCCATTTGACTGCTTATTGAAAATGGACGGATGGCAAACCTGATCAGTTTAAAACAAATCTGTGCTTTGCCCATGCAGGGAAAAACAGCAGGCTTGCTTTAATTGCTCCCTTCATCCCGCCTCTAGCAGGACATACTTACATTATCTTAGTTGTTCAGATGCTGGGATCAAAGAAAAAATACTCTGTACATCTGGGTATGGTGGAGGATGCGGCTTACTCAGTATGACATGCAGATCCAATCCCCAAGCACCAGTGCTGTCAAATGAATCTATATCTATTTGTAAGCAACGACTTGTCATTTAAAGTGTATTTCCACTTTTGCAATCAAAATTGCTAAACTCCCACTACATGTATTGTGTTCCCATTCATGCAGTATACCTAAAAGTTAAACGGAATTTTAAACCCCTTCCTGTCCAGAGCATTTTTCAGTTTTCAGCATTGTCATACTTTGAATGACAATTGCTCAGTCATGCAACCTCTGTACCCAATTGAATTTTATATAATTTTTTGAGACAGATAGAGCTTCTTTTTGGTGGTATTTAGCCAACTCCTGGCAGGCTTATAGACAAATGATGGCCAAGCGGGAGCACTTTTATTCTGGGAGGATGTCATATGACATCCTCTCAGTCATGCGCCTCACGCTCTAGGGGCCATGCTGCAGTGCAATCTGTCACCCACTGTGTCTGCAAGAGACAATGGAAGACTTATCATTGTACCGAGCTGGCTCCGGTACCATGTGATCACTGTGAGCGATCGTATGATAGTTGTACACAATGAATAGCTTTCATTCATAGCCATTCATTGCCTACTACTGTGATGATCTCTGTGATTTGTCACCATAATCTCATAGTACAGTCAGGGCCAATCACAGCGCATCTGTACCATTTCAAAGCTATGGCCAATCACAGCTATCACAATAGTACACAATGCCACTGAATGGATGCCATTCATAAAAATGATTGCTTATAAAAGTGATTATCACTGTTGTAAGCAATCATAGTGTAAAAAAATCCTGATCACTTCCCCAGAGTAGTACACTGTTTTCCTTTGGTAACACTGCACTGCTCTGGTCATATAATGTAAAAAATATTGTAATAAAATAGAAAAAGAAACATTAAAAAAAAAAAAAAGTTATGGGTTTTTTTATATACTGTCACCAGTCAGTACCCCTGATCATAGTGTAGGCAGGTGCAGTCTGTTTTTTTCTCCACTGTAGGTGGCGATTAACCCATGTGGTCAAGCGATTGGCTGCACTGTGGCCATCTTGGGTCAACAAGGTCTATTTAAGCCTCACATTTAATGTCTCCATTTTGCAAGTGGCTAGTGTAGGGAGACAGACCCCACCTGTCAGGGACAGCAACTAGTGATAGAGAAAGGTTTCTGACACGGAGGAAAAGATTAGGGATGCACTAATCAGTTAGAAGTCTCCCCTCTTGGGACCAGACCAGCCAGGCCGCACTTCACCCTCTAGCAGACGCCGTCGGCACCTCTCACCTTTAATCAGTCATTTGTGACTACATTGAACTGTGAGTTATTCCCTAAGTGACGCTCTCCTGCTAGGGTGTTTGTGACATTAGCATTCTGCTTAATACAAGTTTTCCTGCAACTGGACTGTGTATTTACTGTCCTGCACCACGCTGAACCTCCCCACATCTGCCACACCAGTCATATGTTAATGCTGTACTGCACTGATGACAGTATGGAATAAAATTGTAAAATAAAAATATTTAATGTCTTAATTTTCAAAAAAAACTGTGACAAAAAATTAGAACCTAAAAAAACTCACCGTGCCTCTTACTAAATAATGTACCTCAGACTGTCTCCTTTCCAAAAATGGGTCATTTGGGGGTATTTGTACTGTCCTGATATTTTAGGTCCTCCAGAAATGAGATGAGGCACTCATTACATCAGGATTGATCAAATTTTCAAATCTATATAGCATAGTTTGTAAACTCTATACCTTTCTTACAAACTAAATATTATACCTATGAGTTAGGTTATTTTTACCAAAGAAATGTAGCAGAATACATTTTGGCCTAAGTTTATGAAGAAAGATAGTTTATTTGCAAAATGTTATAACAGAAACAAAGAAAAATGTGGGGTTATTTTTCAAAATGTTTGTTTTTTTTTCATTTGTATACCAAAAAAATTAAAAACCCAGTGGTACTTAAATACCACCAAAAGAAAGCTCTATCTCAAAAAAGGATAAAAACTTCACTTGAGTACGGTGTTGCATGACATTTGCTATTCAAATTGTGACAGCTCTGAAAGCTGAAAATTGGCTTGGGAAGGCAAGGGTTGAAAGTATTAAAGTGGTTACGCACCACTGCGTTTTTTTTTTGCTATACAAAGGAAAAAGCCTGAACATTTTGAAAAAACAGTTTTCTTAGTTTCTGTTATAAACTTTGCAAAATAATTACTCTTTCTTGATGCATTTAGGCCAAATGTATTCTGTCACATTTCTTTGGTAAAAGAAAAAAGAAAAGTTATGGAGTTTACAAATTATGGTACATACTGTATGTGAACATTTTCCTACCCTGATGTACTGATGACTGTCTTTCTCATTTCTTCAGGACCTAAAGTGCCAGGAAAGTACAAACAACCCAAAAATTACCAATTTTTGAAAAGTAGACAGTCTGAGGTATTTAGTAAAAAGGCATGGTAAGTTTTTTGAAGTTGAAAACTTTTGCCACAATTTTTTGAAAAATGAAGAAGGTAAATAAAATTTGATTTTATTTCACAAAGTTGTAATTTTATCAAATTATTTCTTATAAACAGCATGGGCCTACTTACAAATATTCCCCAAAACACAGTCTTACATTCGTCCCTAGTATGGGAATACCACATATCTGAGACTCTTTTGCCTGTCTAGATGCGTAAAGGGGCCCAAAGTCCAAGGAGTACCTTCAGGTTTTAAAGGGACATAATAATTCATTTGATTTTCTAACTACCTATTACATTTCCTGAGGCCCTGAAGTGCCAGCACAGGAGAATCACCCAAAATGACCCCATTTTGCAAACTAGACCCCCCCAACATATTTATTTAGAGGCATGATAAATCTTTTAATCACATTTTTGCTACATGTTTTTGGAACATAAAGAAAATTGAATTGTATGATATTAATCATAAACAGCATTACATCCCAAAACATATTCTGCCAATCCTCCTGAGAATAGGGATACCACATATGTGAGTCTCTCTTGCAGCCTAAGCAAAACAAATGTCAGCAGCACACCGTGGATCCCCAATATGGGTCTGGAGCTTTAATTCACACTCACATAGTTAAAGCAAAGCAATGTTTCTGAGTCTCGCAGGACCCCGTCATCAGGCATGTGATGTCACATTTTCTTAAAATTTCATTCTCTTGAAGCCTAGCCGCATAATGGGGCCCAAAATCCAAGGAGCACTTTCAAGCTTTCAAGGGGCATGAACTAATTTCCTGACTAGCTATCACAAATGTGGAGGCCCTGGAGTGCCAGGACAATAGAAACTCCCTGACAATTATCACATTTTAGAGAGTAAACACCACAAGGCATTTTTAAGAGACATGGTAAGTCTTTTGAAGATATGTTTTCTGACACAAGCCTTTGGAAAATACAGAAAAAAATGAAAATGTATTTTCTATGCAAAGTTGTAAAATATTAAGATACTTCTACCACACAGCATGGCATACTTAGAATTACACCTCAAAACAGATTCTGCTACTCCTACTTTTTAGGAGCCTAGCTGCAAAAAAGAGTCCAAAATCCAAGCATGTTCAGACTTGAAAGGGCATAAATTAAGCTTTTAATTTCCTGACTAGCTATCACATTTTGGAAGCCATGGAGCACCAGGGCAGTAGAAACACCCATAAAATGACAATATTTTGGAAAGCAAACACCCAAAAGTATTTTTAAGTGGCATGGTGAGTCTATTGGAAATTTCATTTATTGCCACACATTTTTGGAGAATTAAGAAAGAAAATTTTTATTTTGAATGTAAAGTTGTTAATCAATAAGATATTCCTAAAACACAACATGGACATACTTGGAATTACATCCCAAAAAACCTTCTGCTATTCCTCCTGAGTATGGGTAATACCACAAAATTTAAGGAACACCTTCAGGTTTTCAACGGTAAATTAAGCATCCAGTTTCCTATCTATCATATTTTTGGAGGCCCTTAAGCACCAGAACCATAGAAACACCCAATATATTTTTGAGAGGCAAGATGAGTCTTTTGAAGATTTCAGTTTTTGGAAAATGCAGAAAGAATACATATTTTTTACACAAAGTTTAATAAGGTATTTTTCAAACAAAGCATGAGCATACCTTTTTTTTTGCTCCATAAGACGCACCTGACCATAAGACGCACCTATGTTTTAGAGGCGGAAAACAAGAAAAAAAATATTCTGAACCAATGGACTGCAGACACAGTACAGGAAATGACCAGAGACTGCAGACATAGTAGAGGAGATAACCAGAGACTGCAGACATACTACAGGAGATGACCAGAGACTGCAGACATAGTACAGGAGATGACCAGAGATTGCAGACATACTACAGGAGATGACCAGAGACTGCAGGCATAGTACAGGAGATGACCAGAGACTGCGGACATAGTACAGGACATGACCAGAGACTGTGAACACAGTACAGGAGATGATCAGAGACTGCGGACACAGTACAGGAGATGACCAGAGACTGCGACACAGTACAGGAGATGACCAGAGACTGCGGACACAGTACAGGAGATGACCAGAGACTGCGGACACAGTACAGAGGATCACCAGAGACTGTGGACAGTACAGGGGATGACCAGAGACTGCAGACAGTACAGGGGATGACCAGAGACTGCGGACAGTACAGGGGATGACCAGAGACTGCGGATAGTACAGGGGATGACAAGAGACTGCGGACAGTACAGGGGATAACCAAGAGACTGCGGACACAGTACAGGGGATGACCAAGAGACTGCGGACAAACTAGAGGAGATGACCAGAGACTGCGGACAGTACAGGTGATGACCAAGAGACTGCGGACAGTACAGGGGATGACCAGATACTGTACACAGTACAGGGGATGACCAAGAGACTGCGGACAGTACAGGGGATGACCGGAGACTGCGGACAGTACAGGAAATGACCAGAGAATGTAGACAGTACAGAGGATGACCAGAGAATGCAGACAGTACAGAGGATGACCAGAGAATGCAGACAGTACAGGAGATGACCAGAGACTGCAGACAGTACAGGGGATGACTAAGAGACTGCAGACCTTTGGGGAGGGAGGGGGAGTGGGTGCCTGAATTTGACAGTTGTCCTCCCTTTAGTGTGGGCATGCATGAGAGGCGCTGTGCTTTGTGATTGGTCCGGCATCTTCTGGGACCTGTCATGTGTCCCAGAAGATGCCGTACCATTCACAAAGCGCAGTGCTTCTCGCGCATGCGCACTGGGCACCCGGCTGTCACAGCCGAGAGCCCACACTAAAGATACTGAAGACTGTACAGTGCTGGACCAAGGAACAGGTAAGGTTCTACTGCAGAGAAGAGACGAGCGGCTGACCCGGTATTCTGACACGGCGGCGGCGGTGGGAATACCGGACCGGCCGCTCCATATTCACTCCATAAGATGCACTGACATTTTCCCCCCTTTTTTTGGGGGAAAAAAGTGCGTATTATGGAGCGAAATATACGGTACTTAAAATTTCATCCCAAAACACATTCTGCTACTCTTCCTGAGTATGGGGATACCATATGTTTGAGACTTTTGTAATGCTTGGACTGATTATGTACCCGACATTGTATATTGTGTATCACAAAAATCAACCCATTGTATCAAAAATAATGTACTGTAATAGTCTCCACTGTACGAGTGGTCAGGGAATATAGCTTAGTGTGTCATCAACTATTGCAGTCCCCCATTCCTATAAGCCAAGCCTACTGGTATGTGGCTGCTCCCTGGAATCAGGGCTGTCTTTAAGGAGGGTAAAAAGGGGCAGATGCCTTGGGCCCAGTCATTGTTGTGGGGCCCAGAGCAGCTGCCCCATACTTGCCAACTGTCCTGGCTGTCATTCCCTTGTTCCTTGAAGTCTTTGTCACAGGCTGTGTCCCAATATCTCAGTGTGAAGTCATGTCACTTATGCTGTTTAGTTCTGCCCTGTTTGCCAGGTACAGATGACTCACTTGTACAGACTGTGTCAGCATTCACATGTAAATGACTGGCATTGATATGTAAATAGCAGCAGGAATGTGGCATTCATATGTGAACAGCAACAGCATTCATATGTATATTATGCCCCCCTAAGGTTCTAGCCACCAACACCTCTGATAAATGCTGCCCACTAGGGGGTAAACAGGGGCATGCTTGAAAGTCCTGGCTGCAACTGTGGTCAATGACCCTAATTTTTGCCTGTTCTGTACATCTAAGCAAAGTTGGGGGGGTGCAGAGGAAGGAAGAAAAGGAATTACAGTTTGGGGTGCACAGCTGAGCAAGGAGGGGATGTACAGTGGTAAGGAAGGTAGGCGGAAAGATGAGCAGAGGAGGCATGTAGAGTTAATGTGGGTGGGGGGTAAATAGGGAAAATAGGATGCAAAGGCGCACTGACTGGGTGGATAAAGATGTACGTCGTGTGTAGGAAAAATGTGGAAAAAATCACCTTTTTCAAAATGATAGCAAGCCACACAGTGCCAAGTCATACTGAATTTTGGTGCATGTGGAAAAGCACGCATCAGCAGATGAGTGAGGGTGTCATTATCAGTTAATGTCACTGCTGTGTATCTGCTAAAGGGCAGCACATTTCTGTGGTGTCAGGAAAGCGATTTTGCATGTGTTCCCAACATGCACAAATGTGAACATAGGCTAAATGCCTCAATTACATTGGTGGTCAGTGTATATCTTCTCATTACATTGGAGCATGGTATATAATCCTTTCATTCACACTAGTGGTAAATGTTCCCCTTATACTGGTGGTCAGTGTAAATCCCTCCATACATTAGTGTTCACTGTGAGTGTTCCTATTAGACTAGTGATCAGTGTAAATACTCTTTGCATTGGTGGTCAGTATAATGTAAATACCCTTTACATTGGTGGCCAGAGTAGATACTCCTCTTTATTTTGGTAGTTGGTAAAAAATCCTAACTTGCATTTGTGGTGAGTTACAATGGTGGTCCATGTAGAAGCCCCCCTTAAATTGGTGGTCAGTGTAAATCCCCCCTTACATTGGTGGCCAGTGTAGAAATGCATTAGTTGTTGGTGTAACATCCCCCATTACACTGGTTGTCAGTGTCAATTATTCATTACATTGGTGATCAGTGCAAATTCTCCGTTACATTGGTGGTCAGTGTATATTTCCCTTTACATTGGTGGTAAGTGCAGAACTGCCTTTACAGTGGTGATCAGTGTAAAACCCCCTTACATTGGCCATCATTGTAAACCCCCCTAACATTGGTGGTCGGTGTAGAAATGTCACCTCCCATCCCCATCCACTACTGCCACTGATCCCATCCCACCAAGCATTGCCACTTATCAGTGACCAGTAATGATGTGCAGTAACCTCTAGTAACCAATCAGTGAGCAGTAAGGATGTGCAGTAACCTCTAGTAACCAATCAGTGAGCAGTAATGATGTGTAGTAACCTCTAGCAACCAATCAGTGAGCAATAAGGATGTGCAGTAACCTCTAGTAACCAATCAGTGAGCAGTAAGAATGTGTAGTAACCACTAGCAACCAATCAGTGAGCAGTAAGGATGTGCAGTAAGCTCTAGTAACCAGTGAGCAGTAAGGATGTGTATTAACTTCTAGCAACCAATCAGTGAGCAGTAATGATGTGTAGTAACCTCTAGCAACCTATTAGCAAGCAGAAATCATGTTCTGTAAACCTCTAGTAACTAATCAATAAAACATAATGTATGCTGTAACTTCTAGCAACCAGTGTGTGGTAATGATATAATGTAACCTCTAGCAACCAGTCAGTGTGTGGTAACGATATGCTGTAACTTCCAGCAACCAATCACAATCACTGCCTGATCTGCTACAGTAAACTGACTTTGAGAATTTACCTGCTCTCTATTGTATGTCTCAGTGCAGATGGAGAGCAAAATTGTATGGAGGGGGGCCAAGGAAATGTTTGCCCAGGGTCCAATCAATATTAAAGAATGCCCTGCCAGGAATGCCATGTTTACTGGCCAGGAAGTAGAGGAGACTGTAAGGAATGTAGAAAAAAGAGTTCCTTTGGTTACAGGAGTTCAGTTATCCACAGGGGATAGTTGGGACTGGTGTCTTGCTGAAATGTAGTCAGTGGGATGTGCAGGTAGGGCAGCATGCGCACACCCCCTACCTGGAAATGCAAAATCTCACATGTATACTTGATTTTGCGCAGCCGTGCCACCCTGTAGCAGTAGTTCTGCTATAGGGCGGTAGAGAAGCAGTTAAAAAAATAATCCATGATATTTGTGTTAAAACATAAATTTTCAATTTCTTATGAAAGAATTTAACCTCCTCCCTTCTGAAAAATCAACCTATACACCCATCAGTCATTGCCTATTGAAACATCCAGTAAAAACAATATATAAACCTAAAGTATCTTTACAGTTCTATAGCTCCGCTACTCCTAAATCAGATGGTATAACCCTATTTTATAACCTTCTACAATGTAAATCAGAATTTAACAAGACTACTCCCTTAATCAAGTGGGAAAAAGACTGAATCTATAATGAGCAGTGGGAATGTGCATTTAGGAATGTGTTTTCAGCTGCTAGATGTGTTAACCTTTGGGAGCTAACGCACAAAATTTCCACAAGATGGTATCTAACTCCTTACCAAATGACCAAATTCTCAGAACAAGATAGTCCTCAATGCTGGAGAAACTGCGGTCAGATTGGTACTCTGATACACATATTATGGACATAAAAGTATTAGAAGCTGTTGGTATAAAACTTTCCACATGACATCGGAAATATATTAAAACAACCTGATCCTACCCTAGCCATTTAAAATATAAATATAGATACATATCCTATCCATTATCGACTCTTAGTGACACATATTCTTCTAGCATCAAGACTTACCATTACTAGAAACTGGAAAAAAGACTTAGCCCCTTCTCTAAAAGAAGTCATTGAGCTAGTCCAGACCCACTCCATCTATAAGAAATCTTTACCTAAACGATAGAATTACCATATTTGACAAAGCTTGGAAACCCTGGTCAGGACTAGTTCAGAACTGTAACCTAAGATATTATTATGTTTAACCTTTTTTCAGATACTCTAAAATGATTATTTTTGTGGAACTAGTAGGATTGTTAGGAATTATTCAATATTTTCTTTTTTCTCTTTGTTAAACTTTAACGCAGCACCTATACTGTGATATTGTGTAGCTTTTCACTGTCCTATTTTTTTTTTTTGTTGTTGTAACTATATTTGTAAAACCAAATAAAAATGTATTATGGAAAAAAAATAATAATCCATGCACATCTACTACTTAATGGCTATGTAATCTATTTTTCATTAAATCATTCCTTACTGTGTTTTTCTGCCTCCTTGGTATGTCCCGCATGAGCTCCTGAACCTCTCCTTTTCCCTCCTCACCTCCTTCTGTTTGAAACAAGTAGTGCACATTAGTTATGGTCATGTGCACTGCTTACAGTGGAACCATGAATAGCAAATGAAGCCACATTCTATCAGGAAGTCAGATCACAACAGCAAATCCTGTGTGCATGCATGAGAGTGATATCACTGTGGCTCGGCCATTCAAAGTTGGTGAGTGCAAACCTGAAATTAAGAGCAAGCAACAATGAAATCATTGGGAATGGAGATGTTTAAGTGTTGCAGGACTCTGTTTGAAAGGTAGGTCAGTCATAATGTGCAATGCAGAGCAATACAAAGCAGAGTGCAGGAGCTGACAGGGGAGAGATCTGTATAGTTTACATACAGACCTCTCCCCCGTCAGTGATACTCGGCAATCGCTAGGTGCCAGTGGGGAATCACCAGCCAGGACCTGGTGATTGACAGCTGAGACCACCAATGGAGGCATGGGTAGGGCAAACATGCTCCCCAACCCGGAACTACAAAATCACGTATATATACAGTACACGATTTTACACAGCCCTGCCGCCCTGTAGCAGTATTTATGCTATAGGGAGGCGGGAAAGCGGTTAAAAAAACATGTTTCTAGAGTTTTCTACCTCTTTAAGAATACATACATGAACAGAAAAAATATATACTGTATATGAATATAGTGTGTACATCTATTTTACAACTGATTATTAAGATCTGCCAGAACTATGCAGAAAGGGTTAATTATAGTAAATAGAGATGAGCGAATTATTCAAAAATTCGGTTCGGCTGATTCGTCGAATTCGCCGAATAAATTCGCTTCGAGCCGAATATATTCGCTGCGAATTTAACTTATAAAAAGGGTGTTTCTAGGCTTCAGAGAGCCTTTATATTAGTGCAGAACACTGTACCTTTAATTTAAATGCCCTTGGAGTCTGCTGGGGAAGAGAAATAATACTGTCAGTCAGTATGACATGCAGATGAGTGCCGTCGATCTTAGAATCACCGCACACTTCACTCATTTGGGCAGTCACGGGGCCAAAACCA